GGAGTGCATATAACTCTTCAAAATCCTGTTTTCATTTCCTTTTGGTATGTACCCAGAAGGGGGATCGCTAGAGCATATACAAGATGTGCTTTTCATTTTTTGAGGAACCTGCATATTAATTTCCGTAGTCACTGAGCCGACTTGCAATCCCAGAAACAGTGTACACAGGTTCCCTTTCCACCCTTGCAACACTTGTTATCCCTTATCATCTTAATGATACCCATTCTAAAAGGTGTGAGGTGGTAGCTTATCGTGGTTTTGATGTATATTTCCCTGATGATTAATCACGCTGAACATCTTTTCGCGTGCCTGTTAACCATTTGGATGTTTTCTTTGGGAAAATGTCTCTTTAGTCCCTCTGCCTACGTTTAAATCAGGTTGGTTTTTTGTTTATTGTACGAGTTCTTTATATATTTTGGATATTAACTCCTTATATGAGTTATATGGTTTGCAAAAAACTTTTCTCCCATTCTCTAGGTTACCATTCATTTTGTTAATCGTTTCCTTCGCTGTGCAGACGTTAGGTTTGACATAGTCCCACCGGTTGTATATTGCTGCTGCTGTTTGTGCTTCTGGGTGTCATATTAAAAAACAACCACTGCCAAGACCAGTGTTGAATAACATCCACCCTGTTTTCTTCTTGGAGTTTTATGTATCAGGTATGTTTAAATCTTATGATTTCTAGTTAATTTTTGTGAGTGTTGTAAGATAGGGGTCCAGTTTAGTTGTTCTGCATGTGTTTATCCAGTTTTCCCAACACCATTGATTGAAAAGACCATCCTTTCTCCATTAGGTGTTCTTGGCTCCCTTGTCAAATATTATTGACCGTGTATGGAGGGTTTCATTCTGGGCTCTCTATTCTGTTCCACTGGTCCATGTGTCTGTTTATTCTAGTACCATTTTGTCTTTACTACTATAGCTTTGTGTAGTTTGAAACCTCCAACTTTGTTCTTCTTTCTCAGGATTGCTTTGGCTAATCAGGGTCTTTTGTGGGTCTATACAAATTCTGGGGTTGTTTTTTCTACTTTTGTGAAGAATGCCTTTGGAATTTTGATAGAGATTACACTGAATCTATAGATGGTATAATGAATATTTTTAATATTTTTGTATTTTAATTAATTTAAATTTTAATAGTTAATATTTTTAATATTTCAATCCATGAACATCAACTGTCTTTCCATTTGTTTCTATCTCTTTGAGTTAACGGTCTTGTATTTTCATTGTACAGATCTTTCACTTCGGTGGCTAAAATTTTTCCTTAGGCATTTTATTGATTTTAATGCTACTGAAATAGTGTAGTTTCCTTTTATTTATTTTTCAGATAATTTCATTATCAGTGTACAGAAATGCAAGTGATTTGTATATGTTGACTTTTTTAATCCTTGAACATTACTGATTTTATTATTTCCAAGTTTTTGGTTGAGTCTTTGGGATTCTCTATGTAGAAAATTGTATCATCTGCAAATAGTGACAATTTATTATTTTTTAATTTGGGTATGTTTTATTTTTTTGTCCTGCCTAATTGCTCTAGCTAGGACTTCCAGTACTATATTGAGTAAGAATGGTGAGAGTGGGCAACCTAGTCTTAACAAGAATCTTAGAGAAAAATCATTTAATTTTTCACCATTAAGGTCTTAGCTAAGGGTTTATGTATGGCTGTTATTATGTTGAGGTGTGTTTCTTCTATATGCAATCTGTTCAGGGGTTTTTGATTATTTTTAGTTGAAGTATAGTTGATTTACAATATTGTGTTTCAGGTGTACAGCAAAGTGATTTAGTTATACATACATATTTTTCAGATTATTTTCCATTGTAGGTTATTACAATATATTCAATATAGTTCCCTAATACAGTAAATACTGTTGCTTATCTATTTTATGTATAGTAGTTTGTGTCTGTTAATCCTATACTCCTAATTTATCTTCACCCTCCCTCCCTTTCCTCTTTGCTAACCACAAGTTTGTTTTCTATGGCTCTAAGTCTGTTTCTGTTTCATATATGGATTCATTTATATTTTTTAGATTCCACATATAAGTGGTATCATATTTGTCTTTCTCTGACTTACTTCACTTAGTATAGTATTGCCTAGGTCTATCCATGTTGCTGCAAATGGCAATATTTTATTCTTGTTTATGGCTGAGTAATAGTCAACTGTGTGTGTGTGTCTGTGTGTATATGCCACCTCTTAAATCATCTATTGATGGGCACTTGGGTCATTTCCATGTCTTGGCTATTGTAAATAGTGCTGCCCTGAACTTTCAGGTGCATGTATATTTTCAAATTGGTGTTTTCAACTTTTTTCTGGATATACACCCAGGAGTGGAATTGCTGGATCATATGGTAGTTCTATTTTTAGTTTTTAAAGGAACCTCTCTACTGTTTTCTGTGGTAGCTGCACTCATTTACATTCCTACCAATAGTGTAAGAGGGTTCCCTTTTCTCCACACCCTCTCCAGCATTCATTCTTTGTAGACTTTTTGATGTTAGCCATTCTAACCAGTATGAGGTGATATCTCGTTCTGGTTTTTGATTTGCATTTCTCTAATAATTAGCAATATTGAGCGTCTCTGCATGTGCCTGTATGTCTTTAGAGAAATGTCTATTTTGGTTTTCTGCTCATTTTTGATTGAGTCATTTTTTATATTGATTTGTATGAAGAATTGTCTATTTGGAATATTAACGCCTTGTCAGTCACATCATTTGCAAATATCTTCTCCCATTACTGTTGCTTGTATTTTCATTTTGTTGATGGTTTCCTTTTCTGTGCAAAAGCTTTTAAGTCCCATTTGTTTATTTTTGCTTTTATTTATTTTACCTTGGGAGACCTAAGAAAATACTGGTACAATTTACATCAGAGAATGTTTTGCCTGTGTTCTCTTCTAGAAATTGTATGGTGTCATGTTTTACATTTAGGTCTTAAAATGATTTTGAGATTATTCTTTTATATGCTGTAAGGGAGTGTTCTAATTTCACTGGTTTACATGCAGCTGTCCAGCTTTCCCACCACCACTTGAAGAGACTGTTTCTTCTCTATTTATATTCTTGACTTCTTTGTCCTAGATTAATTGACCATAGGTGTATGGGTTTATTTCTAAGCTCTCTATTCTGTCCCATTGATCTATGTCTGTTTTTCTGCCAATACTACACTGTTTTGATTACTCTAGTTGTAGTATTGTCTGAAGTGTGGCTGGGTTATGCCTCTGGCTTTGTTCTTTTTCCTGAAGATTGCTTTGGCGATTCTGGGTCTGTTGTAGTTCTATATAAATTTTTGGATTATTTGTTCCAGTGCTATGAAAACTGTCATGGGTATTTTGAGAAGGATTGCATTAAATTTATTGCTTTGGTTACGTATGGCCATTTTGAAAATATTAATTCTTCCAATCCAAGAGCATGGGGTATCTTTCCTTTTCTATGAATCATCAATTTCCTTTATCAATGTTTTATAGTTGTCAGTGTATATGTCTCTTCACCTCTTTGGTTAAGTTTATTCCTAGGTATTTTTTCTTTTTTGGATGTGATTTTAAAAGGGATTTTTTTTCTTACTTTCTTTTTCTGATATTTCATTGTTACTGTAAAGAAATGCAACAGATTTCTGTATATTAGTCTCGTATCCCACTACCTTGCTTAATTTATTTATTCTAATAGTTTTTGTGTGGAGTCAAGGGTTCTCTATACACTACCACGTCATCTGAAAATAGTGACAGTTTTAGCTCTTCCCTTCCAATTTGGGTATCTTTTGTTTCTTGTCTGATTGCTGTGGCTAGGACTTGCAATACTATGTTGAATAGAAGTGGTGAGAATTGGCATCCTTGTCTTCCTGAATTTAGAGAAAAGGCTTCCAGCTTTTTACTGTTGAGTATTTTGTTGGTTGTGGGTTTGTTGTAAGTTGCTTTTATCATGTTGAGATATGTTCCCTCTATACCCACTTTCGAGAGCATTTTTATCATGAATGGATGTTGCATTTTATCAAAAGCATTTTCTGTATCTATTGAGATGATCATATGGTTTTTGTCTTTTGTTGATGTGGTGTAGCACATTGGTATTTTTTCAATGCTCTTTTTTTAATTGAAGTATAGTCAGTTATAATGTGTCAGTTTCTGGTGTACAGGACAATGTCCTAGTCATGCATATCCATACATACATTCATTTTCATATTCTTTTTCATTAACGGTTATTATAAGATATTGAATATAATTCTCTGTAATACATAGAAGAAATCTTGGTTTTTAAAATCTGTTTTTATATATAGTGGCTAACACTTGCAAATCTCAGACTTCCAGACTTATCCCTTCCCATCCCCTCACATTGATTTTTCTGTATGTTAAACCATCCTTGTGACTCTGGAATAAATCCAGTTTGATCATGGTGTATAATCCTTTTTATGTATTGTTGCATTCTGTTTGCTAATAATTTTGTTGAGGGTTTTTGCATCTATATATTCATCAAAGATACTGGCCTTTAATTTTCTTGTTTTTTTTTGTAGTTTGTCTGGTTTTAGTATCGGGGTGATAGTGGCTTCATAGAAGACTTTGGGAGTGTTCCCTCTTCTTCAATCTTTTGGCATAGTCTGAGGAAGACAGGTATAAGCTCTTTGTATATTTGGTAAAATTCCCCAGTGAAGCCATTCCGTCCTGCACTTTTGTTTCCATGGAGTTTTGTTTTGTTTTAATTACAGATTCTATTTCACTTATAGTGATTGGTCTGTTCAAATTCTGTTTCTTCTTGACTCACTTTTGGCAGGCTGTATGTTTCTAGAAACTTATCTACGTTTTCTAGGTTGTCCAATTTGTTGGTATATAACTGTTTATAGTATGATGATTTTTAATATTTCTGTTGTATTGGTTGTTCTTTCTCCTCTTCCATTTATTATCTTGTTTATTTGGGTTCTCTCTTCTTGGTGAGCCTGGTTAGAAATTTGTCAATTTTACTTATCTTAACAAAAAAAAAAAACCAGCTTTTGGTTTTATTGATATTTTCTATTGTTTTTTGTCCTCTATTTATTTCCCCCGATCTTTTCTTTCCTTCTGCTGACTTTGTTCTTTTTTTTTCTAATTCTTGTAGGTGGTAGGTTAGGCCGAATTTATTTGAGATCTTTCTTGTTTCTTGAGAAGGGCCTGTATCGCTATGAACTTCCCTCTTAGAACTGTTTTGCTGCATCCCACAGACCTTGTAAAGGTTTTTATCATGAAAGGATGTTGTATTCTGTCAAATGCTTTTTCTTCATCTATTGTGACAATCATGTAATTTTTACCTTTCGTTCTACCAATGTGATGTATTATATTTACTGATCTGCATATGTTAAACCAGCCTTGCATCCCAGGGATAAATCCCACTTAGTCAGGTGTATAATCCTTTTAATGTGCTCTTAAATTTGGTTTACTAACTTTTTTTTGCATCTATATTCATCAGGCATATTGGTCTGTATTTTCTTTTCCTGTATTGTTTTTATCTGGCTTTGGTATCAGGATAATGCTGGCCTGGTAGAATGTGTTTGGAATTACTTCCTTCTCTTCAATTATTTGGCAGAGTTTGAGAAGAACTGGTATGAATTCTTCGTTAAATGTTCAGTAGAATTAATCAGTGAAGCCATTCTTCCGGGGTTTTCTGTGTTGGGGGTTTGTAATCACTCTTTCAATCTCTGTACTTGTTATTGGTCTGTTAAAATTGTGTGTTTCTTCCTGATTCAGTCTTGGTAGGTTTTGTGTTTCTAGGAATTTATCCATTTCTTTGAGGTTATCTAATTTGTTGCCATGTAATCATTCAGTCTCTTATGCTATATGTCACAGTCTCTTATCCTATGTGTTGTTACAGTATCAGTCGTAATGTCTTCTCTTTCATTTCTAATTCAATGTACTTGAGTCTTCTGTTTTTCTTATTTAGTCTAGCTAAATGTTTGTCAATTTTGTTTTCTGAAAAACCAGCTCTTAGTTTTGTTGATCCTTTCTATTGTACTTCTGGTCTTTATTTACTTTTGCTCTGGTCTTTATTATTTCCTTCTATCTGTTAACTTTGAGCTTACTTTGTTCTTTTTCTAATTCCTTGAGGTATAAAATTAGGTTGCTTATTTTAATCTTTCTAATTGCTTAATATTTGTTAACTATCTCTATAAACCTTCAGAGCTGATTTTGCAGCATCCTCTATGATTCAGTGTGTGTTTCCATTGTCATTTGTTTGGAGACAGTTTATTTCCCTTTTGATTTCTTCTTTGATTTGTTTGTTCAGAAAGGTGTTGTTTACTTTCCACATATTTTGCAGATTTTCCAGCTTTCCTCTTGTTGATTTATAGCTTCAAACCATTGTGGTCAGAAAAGATAGTTGGTGTAATTTAAATCTTAAATTTACTAAGATTTGTTTTATATCCTGTCCTATCATGATCAACTCGGAGAATGTTCCATGCACAATTGAAAATGATGTATTTTGATGCTGTTGATGGAATATTCTGTATACATCTGCTATGTCTAAAGTGTGGTTCAATTCCAATGTTTTGTTAATTTTCTGTCTGGATGATCTACCCATTGCTGACAGTGGAGTACAGAAGTCCCCTACTAGTATTGTATTATTGTCTGTTTCTCCCTTCTTTCTCATCCGTCTAGTAAGTCTGTGCCTTTTGGTTGAATTCAGTCCATTTACATTTAGAGTGATTTTAATATGTAAGGACTTAACTACTGCCACCTTATTTATCTTCTGGTTGTTTCATATCTCTCTTGCTTCTTTTCCCATCTGCTTCTGCCTACACTTGTACATTGGTGGTTTTCTACGGTGGTATGCTCTGCCCTCCCTTGTTTTCTGTGTTTTGTGAATCTGTTCTTTAATTTTTGCTTTTGGTTACCAAGAGGATTATATAAAACATAGATAACAGCCCATTTTATGCTGATAGCAACTTATCTTCATTTGTCTATAAAGTCTCCACCCTTTTACTCCTCCCCATTTATACTTTTGAGGTCAAAATTTACCTCTTTTTATGCTGTATATTTGTTAACAATTATAGTAGCTGTAGTTATTAACACTTTTTTCTTTAACCTTTATACTATAGTTAACTTAAGACACCATTTTCAGATAGAATAAGTTTTCTTAATTCTATCTATAGTTCACCTTTACCAGAGTGTTGTGTACTTTCATATGTTTCCATGTCATTAATTAGTATCTTTTTTTCAGCTTCCAGAACTTCTTTCAGAATTTCTTGCAAGGCAGGTCTAGTGCTGGTGAACTCCCTCAGCTTTTGCCTGGGAAAGCCTTTATTCTTCCTTCATAGCTGAAGGATAACTTTACCAGATAAAGTATTCTTGGCTAGAAATGTTCATTTTCAATACGTCACCGCACTCTCCCCTGACCTAGAATTTCTGCTAAGAAATCCACCGATAGCCTAAAGGGGATTCCTTTGTAGGTTACATTCTTTTTTCCCCAACTGCCTGATGAGCAGGAGTAGGGCAGATCTGACAGCTTCTTTGGATCTGCAGCCCTTTCTGAGGTTTTGTTTATTTTTGGATGCACAGGTGCACTGGAAACCTCCAGGATCCCTTGGTGCAATGTGCAGAGGCAGTTTGGTTTGGCTATGGATGTCTAATTAGTTGTTTTAAAAAAGGAGAGGAAAAGGAAATGATTTATGCCACCAGGATGCTGATGTCACTCTTTTCGAAAGCTGAGTCCTCTGGTCGGTCACCCTCTGCTAGTTCGCCCAGAGTAGGAGTCTGTGAATAACGCCCGGAGACTGCCCTTCCGCCTCAGCTTCAAAACAGTCCTAAATCAGGATCTTCTTGGCAATGAGCCTGTTTTAGAGAAGAAGGTAAAAGTATTAGGAAGGCTTCACTTGATACGTATTCAAATCTGTGCTGTGAGCCTATGCTTTTCTTTTTAATTGAAGTACCGTCAACTACAATTTCTGGTGTACAGCGTTATGTCCCAGTCGTGTATATACATACATTTGTTTTCATATTTTTTTCCATTAAAGGTTACTGTAAGATATTTTGCATAGTTCCCTGTGCTATACAGCAGAAACTTTCTTTTTTTTAATTTATTTTTATATATAGTGGCTAACATTTGTAAATCTCAAACTCCCAAATGTATCCCTTCCCACTCCTTTTCCCCGGTAACCATAAGATTATTTACTATGTCTGCGAGTTTGTATGGTTGTTTTTAACAACCAACCAAACTTTATTTAAGTATTGAAGTTTCCTGTACAGAGGTCTTACTTTTCTTAGTTAATTCCTAGATATTTTATATGTTTCATCAAGAGGTACTTATTTTATCATGTTTCTTTATTATTGGTTTTGAGAAATGCTGTTAGTTTTATAGGCTAATCATGTAGCTGGCAAATGTGCTTATCTTTGTGATTCTAGAAGTTTGACTGTTGGTTTTCCTTGATGAGCATCTCATCTTCAAAAATCTGTTTTACCTTTCCCTTTGCCAGTTGTTACATTTCTCACTACATATACACTTAAACTATATTAAAACTAATAGTGATGGTGATTTCCCCTTAAATTTTGGCTGAAAATACCTTTTAGAAAATCCTGGACTTAAAGGTTGAAAATAAAATATGAGTTTATAACCTGCTCCTGTTAAAAGTGAATAAACCTGAGAGGCTGCTAGCCTTCTTTTAAAAAGTCAAGGATAGTTTTGGGAAGAGGGAATCTTGGTGCCTCATTGGCTGTCTAAGGGACCAGAAAGACCTTTTCCAGGGAGAGTTGTGAGGCTGATTGGGGAATACTGAGCTATACTTGGAGAAAACTCTAGTTTTTATAACATTTCCGTGGAAATCAAAGCAACACTGAGCCAAATAAAGGGAAGAGGTATGTACAAGGTGCAAGATCCTTTTTCTATACTGTCTGATGTTGATTAGTGCTTTGATCAGAGAAATCCAAAGTCCATACTACTGGAGGGGTTCTGGAATTCTAGGCTCTCTTAGGCTGTAGGCTGCAAAGGCTGCAGCTTGTCATACTGAACCAGGTTTGCCAAGGAGATAAACCTACAGCTGGACCAGAAGAAATGCTAAGAGAGGAACTCTATTCTAACTTGGCCTTGTTGGTGAGAGAGACTGATACAGAGAGTGGAAGGAAGAGCTGGCTATCTCATTTTCATCAGGAAAACTGTACACTTCCATGATTTGGGTTATGTCATAGGCATCAGAGTACAAACCAGGAACTGAGGCCACTAGCTTCTCCAATTGGGGATCTTGGATTTGGACATCACTTGTAGGACTCTCAGTGAGGACAGAGTCCCCTGCCCAATTGAAAGGGCCTAAAGGCTGAGGTAAAAGGGAACTACAGAAATCTGAAACTGGGGAGGGGAAAAAATGAGGACTCGATGCTGTTGGCACTTTCTTGGCTAAAAGGATCTGGTTTGGTGGCTTCAGTGATTGTTGCTGCTGCTGCTGCTTCCTCATTTTGAACAGCAGGTTTCTGTGAATCATCCTGGGAATTCATGCTGGAATCATCCACATAGATAAAAGGATCTGCCTGGAGGTTCTCTTGGGCCATTTTGTTCATCAAGGGTGCTGACATCTGTCATAAGTTCCCTTGGAGGGCCTGTTTGATGAGTTTCTCTGGAAATGCAATTCCTCTAGTGTCTTTTGTAGATGAGTTCATAGTGTCCTTTTTTTTCTTTTAGATTCCACATATGAGTGACATCATATGGTATTTTTCTTTCTCTTTCTGGCTTACTTCACTTAGGATGACATTCTCCAGGTCCATCCATGTTGCTGCAAATGGCATTATTTTATTCTTTTTTATGGCTGAGTAGTATTCCATTATATAAATATACCACCTTTTCTTTATCCAGTCATCTGTCGATAGACATTTAGGTTGCTTCCATGTCTTGGCTATTGTAAATAGTGCAGCTATGAACACTGGGGTGCATGTATCTTGTCGAATTAGAGTTCCCTCCTTTTTATGCCATGTGGAAACCTTCAATCTATTCTAATCTAAAGTGAATCTGTTTTCACTTTATGGATATACCTAATGCCATGCTGAACTGCACACAGGGTGTGATATATGTATATTAGGAAGGGTAACTATCAATGAACTAGGTATTCACACCAACCACTAACAGTCCATAAAGGTACATGGAAAGGAAAAGGGAAGCAAAAAGAGAGGCCATCAATGAAAGGAAAATGTTAACAAAGTTTAAATTAAGAAAATACCTCAACAACTCATGAAATGAACAAATGCCTTTTGAAACATAACTTGTCAAAAGTGATGCAGGAAGAAAAAATCTAATATATCCATATTTATTAAAATATAGAGTTTGTAATTACATATCTTTCCCAAAAGAAACTTTAAGCCTTGATTACTTCACTGCTGAATTCTAACAAATATTTAAATCAGAAATATTAAGGTCTACACAAATTCTTTCAAGAAATGGAGACCTTTCCAACTTGTTTTAATGAGGCCAGCATAAAGCCAGTTAAAAATCTGACAAATACGAGAAAAGAAAGATTAATAAATATTCCTCATGAATATAAATAATACTTAATAAAATAGCAGGAAATAGAACTTAGAATGAAAAAAAAAATGGTACCATGACTAAGTGGAGTTTATTCCAGCAGTATTTCACCACAATAACAAAGGAGGAAAAAAATCTCACAAAATTGAACACTTAATAAAAACTCACAGCAAACCAGCAACAGAAGAGAATTCCACCACTTGATAAAAGACATCTCTGAAAATCTAACAGCTAATATACTTAATGATTTACTATTAAATCCTTTTCACTTAGGATTGGAAGAAGGGAAATATATCTATTCTTGCCCCTTTTATTCAACATTGCAACAGCAGTCCTCGTCAATACAATAAGGCAAGTAAAAGAAAAACAAAGATTTAGAAAAAAAGGAAAAATTGTTGTATATTTATAAAAATCCTATGTAATTTCCAAAACTACTAATTTTGGACTAATAAGTGAATTTAGGAAGAAAAAGAAAATACCAAAAAAAGGCTTATTGAAATTAAGCTTATATTTTTATAAATTTGAGAATAAAATGTTGATAATCACGTACTATGCTCTATACCTAGAATACCAACTTCAAGATTTTGCTTTCCCATTGATGGGAATCTTGACTGTCAATTTTTCATCCAAGGGTCCAATGTCAAAGGCTCCCTCAATTTTGTGACCAATCTTATCACTGAAAAATAAGCTCTTTGGTAACAATCTGTCCTTGCAATCACAGTTGTAATTTAAACTTTCATAAACCCAGGAAAAGAAATATGACATCTGGATTCTGGAAGAACAGAGCACAGAATCTGATAGGACATTACCACTACAAGTGCTGATCAAATCCATATTGGGAGAGTCACCTGGGTTCCACAGAGACTGCTGGCCAACTGGGCAACTCCCGGAAGAACAGGGCTTATTAAGGCCCAAGATGGCCCACCCATTTCTTAAATACCTTCCTATTTCAGCTCTTTATTGAATATTTAAGACCCTGAAAAAATGATACCAGTAGCAGTTGAATTTCAAGGGGTAGTAGAGGTGTTAACAGGTACCTTTGCAACTGTCATAATTCTTTTCCCAGTATGACTTTGATTCAGGCCTCCCTAGATTTCTCATTCAGAAACAGTGTGTTCTCTGTTATGTTCCATTACTCTGGTTTCTTCCTTATTGTGGATGGACATGTTATATATTATTTCAAGTACAGAAAGCCTCAATTTGCCTGTTTACTTTGCACATGTATACAAACTCTTCTCAGCAATTCCTGAAGCACATTTCATTCCATCTGCAAATCAGATTGTTTATAATTAGGATGATGACATGATATGAACATCCCTGTAGGTGAACTGTTACTGGAGGTCAATCCAGGGGTTATGACAAACTACATGCAATCCTGGTCAGGGAGCAACCTCTCTTATGCGGATAAAAAGTATGGTGCAGTTTTGTCAGCTGACAAACCCTAAGGAAAAAACCATACATATTCCTTTTGAAGGAAGAGAAACAATCTCTGGAGCTGGGCTCTACTTTCTTAACTCTATTTTCAGGATAAGTGAAGAGACACCTGGGCTCAGAAAAGGTCTGAGCTGATTAACAAGATTGTGGAAGGGGAAGATGATTAATTGTACGAAGTATGAGTTGCATATCATTGAAAGATATATTTCTTTCATACACAGTGAAAACAAAACAGAAGCCTGAAATGTGACTTTGTATTTTTTTTAAGTTTAAAAAACATCCTGCTTAGATGGTAGATGCTACCAGTAAATCATTTCAATTGAGAATAGGCTCCAGAAAATTAAAAAAATTACGTAGTGTGTACTTTTGCCCCAGAGAGCAGAAAAACTTAAGTTATGTGTATTAAGATGAGCACAAGAAAACATATTCAGAATCAATTAGGGGTGGGACTAGTTACACCAGGGACTAAATGTAATCCATTCGATTAAAATTATGCTAGGTGCAAGTGTGTGTGTGTGTTCAAGTACTCAAATAGCCCCTGCTTTAACTGAAGGAAACATTAATTAGTTTAAATAAAAATACTGTGCTGTGGAACCAGCAGGTGCCTCTCCAAACTTCGTTTTCAGTTGGGGCTTGTTAAATGCTGCTTTACAGCAAGTCCTGTGGGTGGGAGGCCTCTGAGTAGGTTGTAATAAACATATTTTAATGGAAAATTTGACGCCCTTCTATTAAGAGATGTCTAAGTTGGAGTGTGTTGAGGAGCTGCATGAGAAATCTTGTCATTGTTCACTTTTTGCAAACATTTAAAAAATGTAAAGCATTTAACTTAGGTAGCTTTGACATGTAAAAACAATATATGCATACAATGCAGTGAGGTTGGAGATAAGTATACATC